CTAGGTGGCAGCGTACCTCATGAAACCTCCACCACTGTAACAACAACATCACTCCAATTACAAAACCTCCTCAATTGTCCTGGCTTTTATTTGCTCCGCAGGGCAACGAAACTGGATGACAGTGCGTCCGAACACTCGATAAGTTATGATCAGCTGCCCCGGCTCTCGCTCCCGCCCTTTAAACAGCAGCTTGATAGGATCTGTGAGGCGCACTGGGCATGTATAGTGTTACTCTCATCAAAGGGGACTGAATGGGGGTGAATGGAGGATGATGTGTGTACTGCCTCTGCTTAGTGGAGGCATTTCCAGCTGGCGCCAGGGCAGAGGAAACCCACTGAGACACACAACAACACACACAGACACAGGGGTCAGCCTGGATTCACCCTCCTCCTCCTCCACCGCCACCACCTCCATGCCTCTTGGCCTCCACCGCCTCCTCTTCTTCTACCCAAACCCTCACCCCCTGCTTTCTCTTCCCAGGCCTGGCCGCCTCTCATCTGCTCTTTCTCTCTTGTTCATCCTTTCTTCTGCTTTTCCTTCCATCTCTCTGCTGTCTCCTTTTCTCTTCCTCACTTTCTCTCTTACTATTTATCAAACTTACACTTTAATTACATTTTATTACACTTAACAATGCTCTAAAAAACAACTTAGGCATGAAAGAGGTTCTTAAGAGTAACACACATGTCAATATAATTATAGTTAAGTGTAGGAGTAACATTTATGAGCAACTCACATGATTATCCACATGAATACTCTGATCAGGAACAGCCAATCAGAGACTAGGATTTACCTTACATTAAAAAGTGTTCATTTTATTATTGTTAAAAACATCCTCATATTTTTAAATCTATAAATAATTTAAAAAGGAAGACATAATTGGAAATTGGCTTAAAAATAAAACCAAACTGGAGCAGAAAAGAAAGGCAGACTCAACGTACATCAAAGAAACCATAATACGGAGAATATAGTTCCACGTTGATAAGTGCAGGAAATGAAGACACATGGAGAGCAATTACAAAGAAAATCAATTTAATATTTATTCTTGTTGTTTGTAGCCCTAATAAGTGAACGATGAATGGAAAAAAAAAGAAAAAATTGTGTACCCCACAAAATTGTCAATCAAATGCAAATGTTAAACTAAGCTGTCTGAGAGGCAGGGGCAAAACAAAAAATAAATGCAAAGGCACTACCATGTCTGGATGCAACAGTGTGCAGAAAGTTTTGTAGTATTAAGGGCAGCCCACATGGCACTGCATCACGTGTTCTCCACTGGAAGGGCCAACATGGTGTCATTCCAAAGTCCTCGAATACTGGCGTGACTTCCTGTGTCAAACACCAAAGAAAACTGCAAACCTTTCACGTTGGCATGATACGCTGATGGTCACTGTTATTGTACTGTGTTTCCCCCTGACAGACACAGTGGGACAACAACCTAAGTTAAGGGGGCGAAAAGTCAGAGGAGGGTGGGTGGTAAGGATGGTGGATGGGTCCAACAACCACTGACTCTCATTCAGGATGCTGGTGTTCACTTCCCGTATAAACATAAAGCCAAACCCTGTTATTTTTTCTAAACCCAACCATGTGCATGTGTTGGCTAAACGAAACCACGTACGTTTGTTGTTGAAGGAAAAAAAAACATCAATTTGTAGTGTTGTACCAGTGTAGTACATTTATTTTGAAAGAGACTGTATGCAAACTGTACATTTCCACTTGAAAGTGGAAGGAACGTCAACAGCCAACACAACCAGGGTACCTTGTACGTTATATGTCGAGGTGGAAAGTCCATGACCAAGCGTTGATATTTGGCAAGGTCGGGGTGAAAAAGTTTTGGAAGTGCACCCTGTAGTGCATCACTTTCTTGCAGAAAGTGGCATATATATGCGGTAAATCTGAAGTTCCATCACCTGAAATAGTTCAGCATACAACCTCCCATAAAATAGCAGCCAGGATAGCTGTGTTTCCCTGTTTCAAGTCTTTATGCTAAGCTAAGCTAACCAGCTACTGGCTCTAGGGTAATATTTAACATACAGACATGATATTGGTGTCATTCTTGGACAACCAAACACGTTTTCCAAAAGTAAGGTAAGTGAGTAGGAGTAAAAGTATTTTTAAAATCCCAAATTTCACTTTTTGAAGTTTGATAAATACTGGCCTGCTCTCTGTCCCACCTTCCTCTTTGTTTTCATCTCCTTCTCCTCCCTCAATCTACCCGTCTTGTTATTGTTTGCTTGAAATGCTGACACGGCTTGAGAGGTAGCTGCATCATCACGCCTCCTGTCTGATCAGCTTCAGAGGAAAACAGACAAGCAGGAACACAATATTTAAATCACGACAGAACTTCCTCCATCCTCTCCACTGTTTGACTGACATCAGGGCTCAGAGGAACTTGATTCTGCTCGGGTGCTGACGGCTAAATGACTTTTGGCTATGCCCTCCCTCACAGTCTTCAGGGCTGGAGGTGGGGGGGGGGGACTCTGATCAGTCAGGACAAATTAAAAAGCCAACCTGCTATTTTACTGTTCAGATCTGTTGATGCTATAAAGCAAGAAAATGGGGCTTGGCGGCTTTTACGTGACTACTCGGCCGATTTTACGTGATTTTCCCCTGGTCCTGTATCTAAGCCTTTTTGGCACAACATGCTATGCCTTGACCAAGCATGGGATCTGTAAATGCCCTAATAAATATTTTTTAGCACTTTATTTAGTTCCATGCCCTGGGCCAACAGCGTCTAAAGTATGTCACCCAGTAACAGTGGGAAGAAAAAAGACCCTACAGGCTAAACAGGGCGTAATGTAGATTTAATTAACAAGCCAAGCATGGGCTCACACACACACACACACACACACACACACTCACCAACACACACCGACACACGAAGGCTTAAGCACACACCGTAACAGACACAGAAGCACAAGGATAACATGTGAACACTCAAACAAAAACTTTAGAAAACACACACACATAACTGTAGGTTAATGATTTCATAGTCACATGCGCACACACACACACACACACACACACACACACACACATGCACACACACACACGCACACACACACGTCCCTGGGTTTAGAGCGATGGTGTGAAAATATGTGAGTGTAAATGAGATGCAGACAGGCTCACAGCAGTGAACCCGAGAGAGAGAGAGAGAGAGAGAGAGAGAGAGAGAGAAACACAGACAGACAGACTAACAGAGGATGTGGCTTGGCTTTGAATTGCTAAACTAAAGTTTGAGGATGAAGGAATCATATTTTGAATTCTATGCATACTGATCATCGTTGAGCAACAGAGTATAAAAGGAGCTGTACATATTTCTTCTGCTGCTGCTTATTTAGGATTAGATCTTCTCTTTTTATTTTCAAATCAGACTCTGATATCAAACGTTTCAAGATCAAAAGTCCAACACAATTGCCAGAATGATTTTTATAGCATTGTAGGTTTCTACAAACCACAGATATGTTACATTTTCATGTTTTTATGTAGCAGATATGCTTAAATGTTTCAACGATGCCACTGCTTTCCTGCCACTATCTTGGCAGGAAAGCAGTGATGTCTCTTTAAGAAACAACCGCTTTTTGTGCTGAAATAGAGACTTGAAACACAGCGACAAGTTGATTAAAAACACCCATGCTTGGGAGCTAAAAAGCTGCAGGAAAAACAGCATTGACTCATGAAATCACAACTGGTTTCCTTGTTGGTCTGCAGCTTGCAGGTGTCTTGCCAAGGTGTCATGCCACCCGCCATCCCCTCCACCTCCTGATGACAGTCAGCGTACATGTTATGTCACTTTATAAACGTTGATATGATGAATATGAAACGGGCAAATGTACACAGCCCGTCACTGTTATATGGGTAACACTCAACAGTACGTCACTTGAAAACGATTGTGGGACAAATCAGGAACTAAGTGATAATGAATAGGGTTTGTTTTTAAGGAGCTAATTGTAAATTACCAGTAAAAACGCAGCTACTGTTTAGTTTTGCAGGACGATGCTTATATTATTTGAGGTGTCAGAAAAGGGGTATGTAGAGGTAAGATAGCTGGGAAGTGATGGAGGGTTACGGGTAACTTCTCAGTGTGGCACATCACTTTACTTGATGAGACAGAACAAGGTAATAAACTCTGGTAATTAGTGATCAATGAGTGGTTTTGTTCATTTTAATGATTGAGTTTTGTGCAGCTCAGCAGCTGATTTAAAGTTGATGAGGAAGGACTCATGAAGACAGTTTTAGTAGCTGAGTTCACCAACCCACAGACACCTCATCATTACATAATATTTCACCAAGTGTGTTGTGGTCTGTCTTCAACTAACGTATCATTATCTATAAACACCATTCATGGTTATCAGGAAATACATATGAGCAATACACCCTGATTCCTCAGTCGTTCCTCGGCAACAACTCACTATTTAGTGTTTCTTACCATTAAGTTATATCACTTGATTATTATCATTAATATATTATATTATATTATATTATATATTAATATATATAGTGTAAGCAGCAGTTTACAGTTGTAGCTGGTTGAGGAAGAGATAGCTTAAGCTATTTAATAAAATGTTAGGTAACTGAATCTGCAACAATCAATCATATTTTATATTGAGAGCTTGTGTCAACATCTGTAAAGTACAGTCACCTATGTGTTAGTGATGCAAATAAAACTCATCATCATTAAGCATCATTATAATGTAGTTAAAATGATCTGTAACTCGACCAGCTGCAAAATTAAATTGCTATGTAACAGCTTTAATGACAATAATCCCATCAATATAAAATGTATAATATTACAAACCCCTGAACAACTTTTAATTTTGATACTCAAGTACATTTTGTTGCCAATGCATGTATTTTGACTCAATTAAAAATGGTGAAAAACACCTAACAAATGGTTTCTGTTAAATCCAACCTCCAATATTTCATCAGTCACGGCAAATCATTAATTCAGGTCATTACAGGCACTGAATCTAAATCACCGGGGCTGGTTGTGAATGAGAGAACTCAACACTTCAGTCATTTATTTCTGTTCAGTCAGTGACATCAGAGCAGATGGGCCTGATGTAAATGTTTGGCACTTGAACCCCAAAAGCACAAGCTGCGCTGTGATCTCACATTCTTCCTGCTCACACGAAGAGTTTTGTTCCAAAATAAGATAGTTTGAAAAAGTGACAAGGAGAAAAGGTAGGTCGAAATAAGTGATAAGCAGATAATTAGGACAAATTACAGGATGTGTCAGATCATTTTGAATTATGTCTGATAAAGTAAAACAATATCAGCTTCCCTTAAAAATGGATGTACAGTGCATTGGAAAAGAACTCTTCATACTTAATAAAGCAAGATTTACAGACACAACTTTACCAAATACTCACGTAAATGATCTGTTAATGAAATAAATAGAAAGATGTGTAGACAATAGAAGCTTGTAGGTAGTACATTATAAGCACTTATTATGTCTACTGCATGATCAGAGCAGCTACTTCATACATTCATGTAAGATCATGATGAGTCAACCCTGTGGTTCTACTGTACATGTTCATTTACAGTGGCATTACAGAATACAACATGAACCAAAAACAAAACGTAGTAACAAAACTAATAATTTCCTAGTTTTTACAGTCATTTTCCACACATGAACGTAAAGCATTATTTCAATTTAGATTTTTTTTGTAGTAATACAATAGAAGCTCTTAACTGTTATCTATAATTACAGTAATTAGCTTACATCATCCTCTAAGATAATAAGAGTCTTCAAATGAAGAGCTGTACAGCGGCTTTAGAAAGTTGTCACACCCATGTACTTACTGCACACTTTATTGTGTTATAGGTTTACTTTAAAACAGATTAAAATGGCTTAGCAATACAGATAATAACCCTTCATGACAAAGAGGTTGTAGTTTTTAATTTTTAATACTTTAATGCTTTCCAAAGCCACTGTGTGAGTCTCTTTACAACACACTTTCCTCTGAATTAATGGCAGACACACACAGAACCGCAGTTTAGTCTCCAGATAATAAGATGCAGGATCGACTCACTTCGACAAAAAAATAAATAAAAAAAAATGGCTAATTATAGTTCCTCTACTTAGTGTTTAAACCGTGAGCACATTCACTGATGATTTCATACATTCCCCTCTGAAACTAAATGAATAGACAGCGAGATAACGAGACGGCGTGATGAGGAGAAACTCGCAGTAATCTCATTAAAAACTTGTTATTTTCACTTCTCACTCTGAGCTCTTGCCTCGCTTCTCTCACCTCAAACTTTCTCAGACAAGTACACATACGCACACACCCGAACGCAACTATGCATATGACACATATGCGCTCATATGTATGTGAGCACTTTACAGTGTACAGTATTTACATGAGTGTATACACACACACACTGAATGCAGATGGTGGAGATTGCTCATGCCTCGGTAACACTGTAAAAGTCAGGCACATTCTCCAACACTTTAATAACATTCCTGCCTCTAACCACAACAACTCACCACACACACACACACACACACACACACAAAACCCTGTACTTGTATACTTGTGAGGACTTTCATTGAAATATTGCTTTCCCTAGCCCCGAATTTCAGACCAATCGGCTATCGTCTGACAATGACAAACCTCTGAGGGCGAAGGCCAATATTTCTGGCTGATGCAATGAAGCCAGTGGAGATCTTGGTGAAGATTTCTTTTTCCAGGCGCCGGTTATTTCGGCTCTCTATAAGCAGATATCTGCAATTTTAAAAAGGTAACATAAAGCCATCTCAGACATAGCTGACGGGCTCTGAGATTGAATTTCGGTCAATGCCTTTCGCCTCTTCACACCTGCTGTTCAGACATGATTGGTTAATACTACTTGGACTACAAACAGAAACCATAACATGTCTGAGGCCAAAATCTTGTCCCCTTGTCTCTAGATTCTGCAAATATTTGCAGAATCTGTTTATAGAGATTATCAACCCTCATACCCTAACCTTAAAGAGGACCTGTTATGCTCATTTTCAGGTTCATACCTGTACTTTAGGTTTATACTAGAACACGTTTACATGCTTTAATGGTCCAAAAAACGCTTATTTTCTCATACTATCTTTGCTGAAACACCCATGTTCACCCTCTGTCTAAAACACGTTTTAATGCCTGTCTCTTTATTCGCCCTTCCGAAAAACCCAGTCTGCTCTGATTGGTCAGCTTTTCCAGGTCTTTCACATTTATGCTCTCTACGTCTCTGCACCCTGATTGCAGCTGTGGAATGACTGTAAGGAAGTAAAGCGGCACTTTCTACAATGAAAAATCCCCAATACAAGTACAAACTAAGATCTTTGCAACCGGACATGTTCTAACGGAAATGTGATCAGAAATCAGGGAGAAATTTATAACATCAGCAACCAAGATAACATATCTTCCTAACATTAGCATGTAGCTACATGTAGCAGCTTGCAACAGGGATTATTCTTACCCTCCTACTCTTACTCTTAACCTAATTATTTAAAAATTTGGCCATGTTTAATATGAACATCTGACATTGTAACATTATATATATTGCAGATAGTAAGTAAAAGCATGTCCCTTTAAACTATGACAACTAAATGCTTACCCCAACCCTAACCTTAACCTAAGTCTGAATTCTCAAACAGGCCTTTGAAGGTGTGTATGAAGGTGAAGACTGACCAAAATGTCCTCATTTTCCAAGAAAGTCCTCACTCTCAAGGTCTAAAACTGAAATTGGTTCTCATAAATATTGACGTACAAGTACACACACACACACACACACACACACACACATTTCGGTATTAGCTTGTATTAACAGATTCTGTATTGAAGTTAAGTAAACGCGTGGTTTACATGGCTGACTTGTTTTCAGTAGTTATACAGACACCTTAAAGGTTTTGGAGCACCAGTATAAACAGGGGATTCAATGGACTGTACGAGGGAAGAAGAAAAAAAAAATTGAACACACACAGTCAAAAATAACCTACGCTGCCTCCCCGTCATCATTTCCTCCTCTATCACCTGCATTTCTGTCAGCCCCCTCACTCCTCTCCCTCCAGCACTCCTTTCAGCGGCTCACTGCCTTGTTTGGCCACCTCGGCCTCCTTCAGAGCGCTGATGACTGGTAACCATGGCGATGGCAGCTCAGGCCCAGTCCTCTTGACCTGGTTGAGGTGGCTGAGAGCGGCATACAGGCCGGTGTTGGGCTCGCCGCGGACGCCCGGCTCCTCCTGCTGCTGCTGCTCTGTGTAGTACATCTCCAGAGCTGCCGGGGTGCAGTGCTTCTGCTGTTACAACACAAAGACAAACATCTTTGTTTGTTTCAGTTTAGATGTAAAACTACTCTGACATGAGCAACACAAGTTCATCTCAGCAGGGCGATGTCAGGCATTTTTGGACCAAACAGTTCTCCCTGAGAGGAACTGCCCACATGGGAGCTCCCTCAAGAACTGCAAACCTACAAGGGCCTTTTTCTGTTTGCATTTGCACTGCCTGTAGGAACACTGACATGATGTAAGTCAGCCTGCAGTTGGTATGGCAACGTCACTTTCGCTTTGACGGGTCATAATTACGTTGTGTCTCCACTGTTGCATATATGCTTAGTAAAGCCTGGACTTCATTTTCTTGTTAAGAGTTTTTTGTGTTTTGTGTTGTTTAAATGCCTAATGGGTTTTTAAAAACGGGGGTTGCCAGCAGTGCATCGGCCCATGTGTTTGACCAATCATTGTACACTTACTTCACTCAAGGTTCCTCTTGTGCTGGGAGAGTACCTACTCTGAAACAGGAGCTTAAAAAGTACCTCTAAATGGCATCATATGAACGACAATTGTTCCTAGTTCTTGCGGTGCAGGCACAATCAAAAGAAGGGTTCTTAAAACTATGAAAATGTTTCTCTGTTCTGAAAATGCCTGTAGACTGTTTCTTTCTTCCTGAAATTCATTTACTGTGTGATTATAATTAAGAAACTTGTCTAGGGCATCTTTCATAACTACATTTCATGAAACTGAAAGTGTGCATTTATTTTTTGAGTCTTTGTTGAAGGAGGGGGTAATCATCAACATGTTAATGATGCACACAAATACATTTTCAGGATGTGTTGGTGGTGGTATTTTGATGTATCTCTAAATTGTGAAAACTTAACATAATCAAAAAGGCCACAGTACTTGGAAATGATCCCACAGTGTAACGTGGCTTTTTGCACTTTGGGGAAGACGTTCCTGAAACTACATTTCAGCTGGAACAAGCATTTCAGAGATCATGTTAAATCCAAGTACTTTCAGTTGGTATTAGCAGTGTTGACAATCAAGGCTGATCAAATAAATGTGTCATTACATCACAACAAAGACTATTATATCAAGGACATTACAATAAGACAACATCTGTTACTTAACCAGACAAAATGATGACATCCAAGCCTCGACAAGCATCAAGGCAGAGGAGGGAGCTAGAATCAGCTACTATCAATTATAGGATTAGATTAAATTATTTTAATTATTTATTATTATATATTATTATATAATTGCCATTGTGTGGTTTTTGCTCTCTGCAGACAGAGAAATGGGAAAATGGTACATTTACTAGTGAGGCCTGTTACAACTCTCCATCAGTGAGAAATAATTGAGAGCAAATGTCTGTGTCACAGTACAACATAGGTTTATCACTGGTACACACCACAAATGTCACTTACACACCATAGTTGCCAAGTTTAATTAGTACAAGCCTTCACTCAAGATAAAAGCATCCTTTGCAACATCTTTAAACACACTTTAACTTGTTTTAGAGGATTGTCAGTGTGTACGAGACAAAATCTGTGTGAGTTAAATCAAACAAACTGAGTGTCCATCCTGTTAATGTTATGTTTTGCAAAGAGCCCACTGAGTTGTGTTGACCTCGCGAGTGTTTCCCGTCCAAGGCTCCACTACCTGACCTTCGCTCACAGTGAGGAGTCAAACCTCTCAAAAGCACAGCAGCGACTACGCCTCCCTCCATCCTCCATCCTCACTCCTCTTTTTATGTCTCCAACAACGCATTAGCAGGAAAAAATGCTGAAAGCAACTGTAACCGGCAAAAACTTCAAAAGCCTTGCCGGAAGGTCCCCCCTTCCCCCCCTTCGCTTCCTTGCTTCCCCCCTCACTGTTAAGCCTTTAATCACAGTTTAGTCACGCTCAGCCCTAATTAAAGACCCCTCCGATTCACAGGCGGGCGTCCCAATCTCTGCCTGACCAGAAAGCTGGCTCTGTAGCTCCCTCTCCCTCCTTCTCCCTCTGTCTTTCCCACTCTCTCATTTTCTTCTGCGAGACAGCCTCTTTAACTAACAGGCGTGGCAGCGCTGGTTCGCTACACGATGCCTCCAAGGTGTCGTTGGGAGATAATGAGTTTGAATTTTTTAGCTCCAGTTTTCAGAGAATCCTCCAGAAGTGACTGATGTGAGGGTGTGCGGAGAAACAAAGCGCCAGCTGCATTGTAGACTGTGTAAGTACCCTCTGAGTGGGTGTCGCACAGACTGCTTCGTCCTGGATAATGAAATAAGAAGTCTGTGATATCCACAGATGAGACTGTGGAAAGATGATGGCCAAGATATTAAGATTTTCTTTCTTGCCCTGAATCATGTAAATCTGCATTTATACATCAGTGTGTGTATATTTGTGTTTTTGGGTGCATACTGTTTTCCTCATTCCTCAGTTTTCTGCATAGAAAACCCACAAAAACTGCCAAATGACAAATGCTAAGCAGCTTTTTAATGGCTTGGACCTCATCCGTGTGTGTGTTTGTGTGTATGTTTATGCTGCTCCTCACCTTAAGAATGAAACCCTCTGGGCAGGTGAGTTGGTCATACCACATGGCTTTGTACATGAGCAGGAGGAGCAGGCTGGTCAGGAAGGCCAAAGTTATGAGGATCAGACCTGTGATCTGAGCAACAACACGCACATGAAGACATACACACATACAGTAGCCGTTACACAAATACACCACTTCAGCAACAAGTGTTATCAATACTTGAAGAATAAGTCGGCTATACATTTTTGTTATTGCCAACAAATTCCATGAAACGACCAACACTAACAGTGAGCCCGCCTCATAATACTTTCTGGCTTCCCAACCCCATCTGTGGCACTCAGCCCCAATTTCATTAGTTCCTACTGAAGAAAGGTTAAAGAAATAAAAATTAGAAAAACAAAAACAAGTAGGGACTATAAAATTTCATCTTTAAAAAGGGCTAAATATTTCCCTGAAACAGCTGGACACTGGACGCAGATGTTTAATTTGCCCCTTTGCCCACATTGAATGGAAGTAAATGGTGAATATTCACTGGTGTTGATATCGCTCATGCGTGACCATACCCTAACCATGGATATTAAGAGACCTTGATACAGCATTGGCGACTGGACCCCATTCATTCATCCTATGAATGTTGCTCAGTGGTATATGAAGCCAAAAAAGCTCTTTTTCCACAGTATGAAATTACCCAGATGATCGGCGCTGCTCCCACATCATTGGGCCCAAACAGCAGGTGCAGCAGAGACCTAAAGCTGCTGAGCACGGCCGAGCAGGGCCAAGCAGCTAACCTCCAGTTTAGCGTGCCACTAACTTGAATGGGAATAAAATGATTTAATCTTTCGGCTCTTGTAGATGTCGGACTGAGTGAATCAAATCCTGATGGTGAAACTTTTTCGGGGGATGTGACGCTTAAAAAAATGTATCCACTGAGTCACAAACATTTCTTTCCCCAGTGTAAGTCTATGGAAAAAGTCTTTTTGGGCCCAATGGCAACATATGATGGACCCCGGAAATTGCAGTACCGCTGTTCAGCTACTACAAAGCCTGAAGCACTTCCTTGGGGTCTAACCCTAACACTGACACTCTGGCAGCTGGCCAGCTGTTATCAATCGAACAGTGACACGCTCTTCCAGCCAGCTGAGATGAAAAGGAGCATTTCTGAAGATGTTTTTGTTTCCTTTCCATAATAGAAAACTGTTATTAATACACTAAAAGCATGTTGATTGTTAATTTTGACTGCAAAAAGGCACGACTAAATGTGATTTTGATAGTTTTAAGACAACAACAGAGTTCTATGGAACAGAGGAGATAAACTATATCAGAAGTCAATTCTCAGACATCAGGTTGTGGTTGTACCTTGGCTTTCTCCGAAACATCACTGTAGAAGTTGATATTCAGCTTCTTGATATTGGGCACGTACAGCTTATTCTTCTTCTTCTGCTGCAGCTGATACTGTGTTGACGTCTTCACAACGACCTACAGCAGAAACAATGCACTGTAATTGTGGCTCTTCTAGGAAAAAAAAAACAAAACAAAATAACTACTAATTAGCTGTTATTTGTTTTCCATTATGGTTGATGGATGATGTTGTCCCCAGTGCTCAGCGCAGGCTCAGTGATACTGTTTTCACTGAAAATGCTGTTTTGCATGTCTAAAAATACACAAGCATCATTTGCAAAAGCAGCCAGTTTTAATCGATGCCTTAAAAACACATTTGGGAGCTACAAAGTGTTTTTATGTTAATTTTTCAGCAACATCTAATCAGCCTGTGGAACATCCTGTGCTGCTGAGTGCATCCTCCAACCGAAATATGATTGTGAGGGCTTTCTCCTTGCATTATGCATTCAAAGAGGTGCTTGCAATGCACAGGCTGATGCCAAGGTCCTAACCTGGGACGGTAGGTAAGGGAAGGTAAATACAGCCGTCTCAGAGTTGGGGCTTGTGCTTGAAGGTAAGCACGCCCACATGAATTTTAATGGTGTTTATCCAGATGGGTTCTGCAGTGAGTCGTAATCTGTTGGCTATTTCTGCAGTGCTATGTAAGGCATATGGTTTGTTGTGGTCGACGTGCAACTTAGAAACAGAGCATTTTAGAGAAAAACAAACAAGTAGGCAGGCACATAAACAGACTCACAAACACTGGCCTAATAGGCCGCACTTACCTTGTCTGTGAATGGCTGCTGGAGTTGGTTGACCTCCAGGGGTGTGATGAGGGGGATGTTATCAAAGCCGTCGTCCGCAGACAGCTGCTTCTCCAGCTTATCAGACAGATTGCTGCCTAGCTTCACCATGGCTGAAAATGCCTGGACAGATCTGGAGAGCAGGGACAAACAGCTGAGGTCAGACTGACTCAGACTGTGTGCTTTGTAACCAAATGTGACAGTGCTGCTTGTAACTCAAATCCAGGATCCTGCCAGGACATGAAGCAAGGTGGAGAAGATGACAGTGTGATGAGGAAAAACAGGACAAGAATAATACTGACCACATTAAAAAAGTATTTCTGATACTGCAAGAAATTAGTTTGAGATGCAGTGTCGGTCTGTTGGTCCACTACTTTGATCTCAGCTTAAATACCTCACCAACTATTGGATGGATTGCCATGAAATCTGGTGTAGAGATTCATGCTTCCCTCAGGACAAATTGTAACAACCTTGGTGATCATCAGGTCAAAAATTGTATTTTTTCAAAAACTTGATTTATGATTAAGTACCTGCAAAATGCATGGCATTCCTGTCAGCCTCAGCTGTACTTTGTGTTTGGTGTTAATGAGCAAATATTAGCTAATGTACACACTAAACTGACATGGTGAACATGGTACACATTATACTTGATGTTAGCATTGAGCTTAAAGCACTACTGTGCTAAAGTACAGCCTTGCAGGGCTGCTAGCATGGCTGTAGACTCTTTATCTTGTTAGCTTGTTAAATCAAATAACACACTATAGATACATAACAAACAGCAATTTGTTGGTTTACAGTAAGTGATGTGCTGGATTATTTCCTGGCTGGGTGCACTGACTTCCTGGAGTCTTTGCTGGTTGCCTGGTAACTGTTTGGAGCCAAGCCATCTGCTGCGTTCAAATGGGGTCGTGTTTATCATCTTCATGTGAAGAGTCCATGTGAACGCCCACCTATCGTGGTATTTATGTCATTGTAAGTGGATTTTTCTTTTAGAGCTCCGAGTTCATGTACACTTCCTAAGGTGTTAACACAAGCTCCTGAGTAAAACTCATAACCCTCTGTAAAACAACGTGGTTTTTACTTAATGCTTGATTTATGCTTGATGCATCCATGAGGGCCATGAGTGTCCGCATGGCTGAAGTGATGCTACACCATCACATACGCCCTTTCATGGGGGTCCTGTGCGGTGGGTTTACGCCTGTCTGTGCAGATCCGACACTTTCTAATAATGTGAATGCAAAATGGGTGAAGAAAATGGAGAACAACACTCTAGATGTGTGTTTCAGTACAGTGTCCCCTACTGTTTGGGAGAATATCGGCTTGCTGCGAAGAGAAACTCACACAGAGAATAAAAGATTCAAACGTTTCCTTGTCACGATTCTGCGTCGGCTCATGTCCGGGAAATATAACTAAGGCTTTAGTTTTTGTATTAGAGGTGCTAATTGGTTGATTGTGTTACATTTGGACAGAGCCAGGCTCGCTGTTTCCCCATGTTTCCTGTCTTTAGGCAGTAGCTCCATACACATATGAGATATCTATCTTCTCTCAGCAAGAAGGCAAATAAGCATATTTCCCAAAATGTCAGAGTATTCCATTAATAGTTGATTATTCTGTGAGGTTATGGTAAGTGCAATCATAATTATGTTTTCGAAGTGGGGGCATATTTTATTGACTTCAGACTTCTGTGTTAGCTATCCTCATAGGGGAGCCTGCTTTCCTCCTGTTTATCCCATCCAACAGTCTAAAGTAAACGTCTCATAAACACTGTGTATGACTAATCTCATATATCTCAGCCCCATCTCTCCAAACACTTATCCTTAATGTTAAGAATCAACGTGTAAATCTAACATGCCACCACTACAGCACTGAACGCCTCTCCGCTCTGATAATAATTCTATTTTCTCTCCTCGATCAAATGATCATCTAAATGTGGAGGGAAGAGGTGAGGATCCACTTATCTCATTCACACAGTGCAACACAACACCTTCCCTCAGCCAAGGACCCCACAGGCCCCACTGACGCCAGTGACTCACAATGATGATACACTCACCAGGAGGCAAAGAGCTACAGTTTTTATGCTGCGGGAGACGTCCCTGATGCACAGGAAATGTGCTTTTGATAAAGGAGATATAGGATCATTAGCTAAGGCCGCCGGACAAACCCAACGTCTGCTATCTGCTGAAAAGGAAGTATATATTGTCAATAAGTGGAAACCTTAAATCAAATTTAATTCTGGATATTTTGGACTTTTATTACAGCGGAACAGAGAACACTGGTGCAAAATTATCACCTCTAAACTGTGTAAAAGATGAAGACGAAGCAGCTTTTGTCAAGTGAGAAAAAAAAGGATCTTAAGTGAGTATATTTCTCAAGTAGCCTCCAGGAGTACTTGGTGTTCTTGGTGAGTGGGTGGCTAAAGTGGTCATCTGTGCTGACCACCATTTTTCCTCCCCACACTTGGAGGGAAGTGTGGGTATGATGAATCATCCTGAATCTGTGATTAACAAATGAGCCGGGTGTTGCTGTCAAACACTCAGTGTTCCCACACGCTGACAGGAAACCAGTCCAGCAGATGAGAGCTGCAAATGACATCTTTTTTAAATGCACATTTCCTCCACTGTAACAGAATGCTGCTGTCAGAATGTTGGCATGATTGTACAGTTTAATTCATCGCCTCAGCCTGACATATATTTATCAGCTAACAGGACAGGGGAGGACACAGCTTTTTAAAGGTGAAGATGTGCTGTGTTATGAATAGGTAAGAGTGGGCTGTTTATGCCTGAGCCTCTCAAGTTCTTCAGGGTTCACTGGTCATGCATATCTGAACTTGCTGCATTGAAGACTGCTGCCACAAGACATACATGCTGTCTAACCAGGAGTCATAGATGGAGCAGAGGCACAGGAAACAGACAGAAGGCTGATAAAACCAATTTTCTATCTAATTATACATCTGAATGAAATATTATTCCATCAGATGGAGCCCGTTTTAAAACACTTTTATGATGTTAAATGTCACACTGTTCATCTTCTGCATGATGAGGCTTGAGTTTAATGAGTTAATGAATGTAGCCTGGAGCCATGAGGACAATCATTAGATGCGTATTTAATTGTAATTTATGTAACGTGAAGGCAGCGCAAATTACAACGCATTTCAGCCTGTAATGAAGACATACAGCTCCACACAACACCCGAATAAAGACGTGATGTCTGTCCATTCATTCACTACAGCAGAGGAAAAATCATGAATCACCTGCATTAACATCACTTAATCGCGTCATGTGAAGAAACACCTCTCCTATAGGGAGACATACCGCAGCGGCACAGGCTCTCCTCACCCGCAAACACGTGCGTCTAACACACAAATAAGCGGCTTCGACCTCACAAATATATGAATGCAAAGAAGAGAATATAAACTCACTGTGTTTTTCTGTGCTCTCCTGTCGCCTGTGGATGGGATCGGACCCCACTGATGCTGACGGGGACTCGGTGTGAACGCCGGTTGCCGTGGTGATGTGTGATTCACGGCAGGACTGCGCATGTAATTCAGCCCCGGAGCTGCTCGGTCCTCCGGAGGAAACTGGCAGCTCAGTGTGAATGCGCATCTTAACGCGGCTCACAGGGATTGTGGCTGATCAGGAAATTGCGTTTTGTCTGTGGGAAATAATCATATCTCGATTTATCTGAGTATTTGTCATCAGTGCGGTAACACAGGCCCTGAGGTCGAGTTTGTCTCTGAGTGGGAACAAAGAGTTTGAATTAGAAACCACACAGTTAGAGCTGCAAAGAATTTAAGCGCGCTTTTAATTTGTACTCTGATAAGATAAATAAAATACAAGCTAAAGAGACATAAAGTAGTCACAGTAGTGGGCTAGTAGCTAGTTATATCTTAGGATGCAAATGGCTCAAACGTGGTAAACCAAAACTAAAAATACAATGACAAATGCAACACTTGTAACCCATGCAAACATGTATTCTGTATTTAGAATTATTTTGGGATACTTTGGTGTACTTTTCTCAATGAATGTTATCAATTTTCCCTTAAATTTCCTCTAAATCTAAGTTAGATAAAACATTTTTCCAGACTACAGGACAGGACCACATGTGTGTCCATACCTGCTCACCTCTGTGGTGTAATACATTTACTCAAGTTTTGTGGTGTTTCTTCTTGACTTCAGTATTATGTACTCCTACACTACACTACATTACACAGGGAAATTTGTGTTTTTCACCACATTATATTTAGTTTAGTCGCTGGCTATAATAACACTTGAAGTCCCCCATTTAGCATTTATAATTAATAGGCTATAACTAATTTAAATAAATGGTCTATAACACATTATAATGCAGTTTAAGCTCATAAGGATATAAGTATTTTTAAGCAATTGTATCTCCTACCAAGACATATTAAATATTATTATAACAGTGCTATATTGTGATTTATTATCTGTTGCAGCAGCCTCCACACCAGCCTAACATTTACATCTGCTTACAACTATACATAGTGTGTTGTAAACAAAATATTATATGCTGCTTATAAATGCCAAACAGGAGCTTGAAGTTAAGTGTTGCCTTGGCTACATTACAGATTGAGATTTTACGCATAAAAAACAAGATAACTTTCCAACAGTGTAAGTAGTTAAAATTGAAATTGAAATTTTTCTTACATATTTGTGAATTAGTAGTAATATTCCAATAAGATATAACTCTCTAAAAGGGGACATTTTGTGTAATATGCACTTTTGATTCTTTAGGTTCACTTCACTGCTAATACCTCTGCAGTTTTAGCATTATGAGCTGAGAACTTTCACATGCAACTGACTATTTTCACACTATTGCTTTTACTTAAATGACAGATCTCAGTCGTTCTTACTAGCTGCCCCAGCTGACTGAAATTCAAACCCAAGCTGCTGTGAATTTGTAACCACCTTTACATGCAATGTAAACATACTTGAAGTCTGGTGTATTATTTTAAACACATTTACCTGTAATTCAGTCTGACCTACTGAGCAGTTTTGTAAAGGTTGAGATCTTCACTTCAACTTAAAATAAAGTTCTCCAGCTGCAAAGTATGAGTTTGTAATGGCCAGGGGGTCAAAGGCCATCAGATGTGGTGTAGCTCAGTTGCCTTTGACCTACTAGCAGATACCCCTGTGACCCAGGTGACCTGAGGAATCTTCAAAGACATATTCAAGCGTTTGTGTATCTCTGGGTTATTGACTCCTGAGTCAAAGGTGTCTTGCTGTGACAAAGAGTTAGGTGGAGCAGCTTACTGAGGGAGGTTTGTTCCATGGTGATGCGGTTCACCTCTCTGAAAGGTGAGGAGGAGGTGATGCATATGCAGAGGTGTGTGTCAAAGAGAAGTAAAAGATAGATATATTTTTGAGTATTTGTTTGTGTGTGTGTGTGTGTGTGTGTGTGTGTGTGTGTGAGAGAGGGAGAGAGAGAGAGAAGCCTGTGCTCGAGTGAGAGAGACGAGAGTGATGTGTGTGGACAATGAGTGGGAAGAAGAAGGAGCCAGGCTCGTCTGCAGATTTAGATCAACCTTTTCATGGAAAGAGGACCCATGCTGTTTTCCTCTTTGGCCGTGCCTGACTGTATGAATTCATTATGCCTTTAGGGGAGCACTCGTCCAAAAATCAGCCCTGAACCCCCCGCGCCCCCCTGCCAACCCATCAATTGGGCCTACATTTATTATTTTGACCTTTCCTTTGCGGGGGAGTGACATCAAAGTGGATCTTCGACTAGTTCCTCTGTAAAGGAGACGGAGGTGTCATCCTCACAGTGTGAGAGGCAGACTGCCGGCCTGCGCTGGTTTTGTTGTCAGTGAAGAAGAGAGACGGAGTCTGGGTCAACATAATTAAAATGAGAATCAATTAGGCTGCAGTGTGTGGAAGGAAAACTGGGTGAAACCAGGCGTGTTAATGTGTGGGCATGTTTGTTTATGAACCTATAAGTCATTCAGATGATTCCAGGATCTCACAGAATAAACTTTGGTATTTTTAATATATATTACTCCTGCTTGAATCATACATAATCATAATCATACCACTCTTAAAAATCAAATCTTTATTATTATACATATGTACAGGGTTTGTTTTTGATTTGTTTGTTTTACATTAAAATATCCAGTCTGAATGATAATGATAATAATATATTATTCTTGTTTATACTTTGAATTGAAAAATCTACTAAATATTAACTGAATCATTTTCTATATTTGTTCCATACAAAGTATAAAAAATTAACTAATTAACTGTTGTTGAGTCAGACGTCATTCAATTCACTTTTTAGTAACTTTGTTGTCTAAAAAGTTTTCTAAGGATGTATTATAAGAGAAAAATCTCTGTTTCCACAGTTACCAAAGAGCACCAAAACTATTTTCAGTAAATTGGTTCCAATTGCTAAAGTGAGTTTTGACATTTGAAGGTCAAGGGACAGCCCAAAATATCAACTGAAACGAGTTATGTCATTAAAACCACAAGGGAAATAAATAAAAATGCTTCCACTCAATGTTACCAGGTGAATTTATTAAAATGGATTCCTTTTATCACGAAATCACATTTTACGATATCACCCACAGAAACAGAGTTCTTTCTAAAACTTGTTGAATTTCCAGTCCTCCTGTCACATTTGTAAGCTCAATGAAGCGTGACTCCATAAGCTCCTACTTCAAGTACCAACTGTTCGACTAACTGTGGATTTGAAGCCTTTGTGTTGTTTTATTTGAAGCAGAGCAGTGACGATGTGGTTAAAGGAAAAAAGAAGAACAGACGGTTTTCACCAGAAACAATTTAAGCACAGTGCTTCCTTGTGTCTCCGAAGTATTTCTCACAGCCATTAAGTGTCATTGATATAAAGCGTGTGAGGACCACATTTTTTCATATAATCCAAAAGTGACAATCCTTTTTTTCTTTAAGCTTTAAAAACAAATTTGGATTTTTTTTCTATTTAACACATTGTTTTAGCTCAGTTTGATGATGTTAGAATAAATTACTAATTTAAGTTTTAGTCACTTACTTTATTTAAATAGTCAACATGTCTGCTCGTCTCCATACATATCTGATGTTAAACATTACAGGGATTTTTAAACAAATAATTACAGATATTTTTTTAGTGAGAACAGGCTGAATCATTGCTTTTTCAATGTAACCTCAGTGTTAGTAAAATTCCCAGTATTCATGGCCTTTTAAGAAACTATGTGGCATTTAATTTAACAAGAAATACAACTATACAGAATTTAAAAATGAAATGACACCAAATGTTCAATCACAGCACAGTTCTAGAGCACATCTGTAAAGGCCAGAGAGTTATAGTGAATGAATGTAACCTAAGGTACAAGGTCTCCAGCCTTGATATAGGGATATATAAGACACTATAGCTCAATGTGAAGCAGCACTGACCCTGTACTGGCCGCTCCGCTCTCCTCTGCCATGCAGCCTTCAATCATCTCTTCTCTGGCTCAACGGAGCACCAACTGTTGTCTCTTCAGCAGAAAACTCATCTTCTAAACAACATCGCCCTCTTCCAACTGAAGAACGTGACCTGCATGCTCTCGAAAAATGTCTCATCTGTCCCTCTCCCAGTTTCTTTCTCACTTTCTTTCCTCACACCAATATCAAAGAAAACCAAGGAGGCTATTGCTGTTCATATTTTTGGCAAAGGCTTATTTTTCTTATTTTATTCTTGATACCAGTAAGAACAGCAGTGAAATGCCTGAAATGTCAGATGTGTGATAATAAAAAGAGCAGATGCTATGTATAATCTTTTACCACAGTGGGTGTCTAAACCCTCAGTATTATTCATGATTGTCTTTTATTTGCTTAACAAACACAAGACAAAGAGAGTAATTATTCTTTATTGGATAATTCTAAGTTGTTTGCATCAATTTGATGTTTTTTAGTATAATTTGAATTTTCTTTCTCACACTTTGAAATGAAAATAATATATTTCCATTTAATTAGACTACTTCTCCACTTCCCATCTGCTGTTCTTTTTGTAATTCACATCATCATGTGAGCAGCAGTCAACTGCCTTTGTCCACTGAGTACAACATATAATTTTGGGGTACAATGGGAACTTGGGTGGGGAGGTTAAAATCACAAAGTAACATAAAGTATCTAAACATAAAACTGATTAAATGAGTTGAATATGAGATGACTATAAAAATCCCGCTTCACATATTGTGTTTATGCAACAGAAATGCTGTTCCCTCCTTTGACAAAGCTGTTGCAGCGTTTTAAATCAATGTCAACAGCTTTACCAACAGGGCCATCTAGTGTCTGATAACCCACATAACCTGTCCAGTAGACGCTGAGCCCAAAAACACAGAGGATGACTTTCTGTTTCCTGACATGTACAAACTGTCAGCGTAGGTTTGGCTGTCAGATGGATGAGCTGAAACAGATCTCACAACAAGTTTTCAGTTCAGCCACTGAGCATGTTCACAGTGTGACACATCTCTGGATCAGTTGGTATTCATTATCAACAGATGGCAGCACCACATCAGGGACAAGAACGATTCGACATGGGACTGTATTTCCTTGATTTGATAATAAGCAGATTATAGTCTGTTGATTTGAAACTATAAACTAAACATTATTGTTGTCAATCATTTTTAATTCCAACAAATAAATTAGAAT